TAGCAAATCAAAAAATATTTTTAAAGGTTTTTATCTTATTTTAATTTTTTATTAAATTTAAATAAGAATAAAGTGTATATGAGGCATAAATGACTAGGAATATCTAAGTTATGAATATAAGAAAGTGGCTATATCATTTTTGATCCATCTAAGAGAAACTTTATCGCACGATCCAAGAAAATTGCTTCCTTTAATCTTGTATCACCTAAAAAGAGATAAGTTAAGATATTATAAAAGAAGGTGATTATTGTCACTTTCTATGATAGCCTCGATGGTGAAATAAGATAGACATGGGGATGTTCTACATCTTTAAATAAAAGATTTTTTAGATTCCTATAGCCTCATCAAGCAAAATTACTTTCAAATTGAGCCGAAAAGTAAGATGATGTACTTAATGATTCATAAACTCCAGATAAAGACACCGATCACCCTTAAAAAATATGATTAAGTCTAATTATCCTAAATTTAAACTTAAAAAATAAGATAATGGATGTAATTGAGGCCAAACTTAAGAAATAGATTCCAATCATCATTAACAAACTTTGATTAGGTATAATTAATGCTTATTTCAGCCTAAAAATAAGACAATAGTCCTCATTGAGCTCAAACTTAAGATATAGATATTAATCACTCATTAAGATATGATTAGTTAAAATTATCATCATCTTGAGCCTAAAAATAAGATAATGGATTGATATAATTTTTATTTATTATCAACTAATACAGTCAATACAGATTTGTAATAGTCAAATTTTGACTATATCAAGTGAAACAATGGGTGTAACACTCACATGGGAGTGGTGAATCGCATGGTATACCCCGATGTTTCAATTGAAATAAAGCAGTCCGCATGCCGATTATTGGGTGGATTGATACATACCACTCATTTCTTGTACCATCTTAGGTGATACAACAATCATTACTTAAAAGCTAAATATTATTATAATAAAGTGTGAAAGCAAGACTATAATTTTGTCACGCTAACGTTAGATATGTGACAAAAAAAATTAAAAAAGAAAAGAAAAGATAGATAAGTGCAATTGTAGTTTGCATGAAAGTTAAAAGGGTTACTATAGTAGTACAGTGACCTGAGCTCGAAGGTTTATAAACCTCAATCTGAGCTCATCTTTGGCCTCTTTTGCAGATTTCTCAAGTCAAATTTAATAATATATTATATTTCATTTATCATCATAAATCTTTGCTTAATTTAAAATATATTATCAATGTGAATGACTATACCAAGTTGTATTAGGATGTAATGTCTCAAAAAGTTTTAAGTAGAATAATTATTTGGAAGAAAATTAAAACATAATGGAATCATTCAATAGATTAGAATTAATGAGAAAATAACAACTAATGAACGAATATCACAAGGGAGAAATATCAAATTTATAGTCACAAATCTTTGTTTGATTTCATATTCATATAAATATTAATGGGGATTAGAGTATCATATTATTGCATGGTCGAAGAGGATACGGAGAGGGTACCCACTTCTCTTTGTAAAAGTATTATAAACCTTATATTTTGAAGGGATAAAAGAATGAAGAATTGAGATTTAGTAGCAATTAAGAACCTTAGGTGAGATACCTAATTGAAGAGAGAATACTCAAAAGTGAGAGACCTTACTTATCCATTCTTTTCTTTTTTCATCTTCTCCCCATCACATTTCTCCTTCGTCTTCAACCATCACAGCAGTACCACCACCAACAAAAGGAACAATAACATCAACCACTAATTGCTATCAATGCAGCAACATTAACAACCACCACTCTATGTGGCACCTTTTCTACCGTGTCATTACTCGACCATCATTTTACTATCGAAGGTCAAAAGCATTAGATACATTTGAATTGTATTATAGGCTATTTATGGGAGGAATGTTCCTGCTCTCAAAGCTTGAGTGATGTGTTCACTCGAGGAATAGAATTAATCCAGCCTCTTAATTATATCTTGTTTATGATTAGCACTTGGCATTTTTTATTTTTGGTCATTCAACCCAAAATAAGCCTTCTAACCCCTCTTATTTTTCTTTACTTAGTTATTTTACACTTGCTTATCTAGATTTATTAAATCAACTCAAACTAATAAAAAGTTAATCAAGATATGGATGAGAAGATAGTTAGCATTCTCATTGCTACCATTTGTCTTTCCTAAGTTCTTTCACCTCATCATTTCTCACTACACCCCTTAGTTTTACTTATAACATACTATACCACTTATCTCTACATTAGATGGTCTCAAAGCAAATTGATCCAATCATTTTTTACTTCCTGCGCTGCTTATTTTACTTCTTTGCATAACCAATTACTTTTAGTCCTTTTTAGCTTTTGTTATCGGGATTATTCTATTCGTTTTTTATACTGCACATCTTCAAATATATTCAAATTTGGCTCACTCGTAACTCTCTAGGTTAAGAATCCTCAAAAATTTCAGCCAAAAATACTATCTATAACCTCCCTAAACATTTTAAAATCTTTATATTGTCTTGATAGACCAAATTGTAGGATGTTCTACCTATATGACTAACATAGTGGAACCTCTTATTATCCCAATGGGCCCATCAACCTGAGATAACCTATGATGATTTTAGATAAAATTATACAAGTATTGGCTCAAATCAATACTAAACTAAAGGATATGAAAGCCTACATAATTCATTGTGAAGAACACTATTAAGTATTTGAAGAGCATTTGACCACTCTAGAAGCCACTTGATTGTTACATAAGTAAAGAAATTATCTTGATAATAACCAAATCTTTAGACTTACACAAAATCTACTATCTAGATAGCATGAGGAATCTTAATCCTCGAATATTCTTAGATTTGTTAGTAGCTATGGACCAATACTTTGATTAGTACTTGATACTGGAGAATTGCAAAGTTAGGTTTGCCTACAAGATGTTAGTTGGTTTAGCTGGATTATATTAGATTAGTATAGAGTGCTACTTAGAGTGCCTTAGTATGGTTCCCATAGATCAATGGGATGAGATGATTAGAGAAAAATATCTCCCTATTTTAGAAATCAACTCATGAAGTAACTAAGCACTGTACGTAAATTTTCCATGACTTTTGATGACTATGACTCATTTTGATGAGCTTATGGTTTAGTGTGATATTTATAGAAAACCCACTTTTATGATAGCTAGATTTCTCAATGGCCTATAATAGGACATTCAACATGAAATATCCTATTTTGACCAAGACTCCTTAATTATCTTTCAAAGGGCTCTTGAAACTAAATAATACCTTAGGCATATAAATCCATCTGCATGCACTCCCACATAGCCTAACTAAAGCAAGATAACAAGAACAAGGCTTTTGCCGTTGAGAACACTTGAGATAAATCAGTGTTTCGAATGTTACAAGTATGATCATTATGCTTTACACCTATAAGAGAATAGACCAACATATGTAAAACAAGATTATAATGACTAAAAGAATGATTTTACTAAAAATGATCAATACTAAAGAGTACATAGATAAAGGACCACCAAATTGTGATTATGCATTGTGTTTTAGCTTTGTCCAAGACTTCTGAAGATTGACATCACACTTACATCTTTCTTTTATATATATATATATATATATATTTATAAACTATAATAGTCATAATTATAAACTATAAGGTACGGACATATTAATTGGGTGGACGTATCCATGTCGGACACATGTGAATATATTACTAACACAACTGGACACATGTATATTTTTTTTTAGGATACGATATATCCGTGTATGATATTTCCTTCTTCTATGCCCTCTTCATCTCGCATGACACTCACATGTGACACTGAGCTCACGTGGCCATCACGTGAGGGCAACATGAAATTGAAGGAACGGAGATGTAAAAGCTCGATGGTTTCGGGATTTCTTGTTGAACCTAGAGGATTGTCAGTGAGGTGGGCACGCACCATTCGTCGTTGGAACTACAGTCGCCGTGTGCTACTCATCGCAATCACCGCAGTTGCCCACTTGCTTCTCACCTTTCATTTTCCCTCATTCTTATAAATGGAGATTTGAGAAATGACAAAAAATTGGAGAGAAAGAAGAAGAGAAGACGATGTGAGAGATCTCCCGCTCAGCCTAAATCTAACCAAGACGTCGAAGATTCCTCTCAAGGGAGTCCTCTGTTAGCTTGCCACTATGCTCGTGGCAGCAACAACATAGAGGAAGAAGTTGACCATTGACTCTTCTCAACTATAGTCAACATTAGTCAAATCTTGGTCAAAAAGGGTACTTTTGTAATTTTATTACTTGGTTGTATTTGGGAAAGTTTCTTTCTCATTTTCTCCCCGAAAAGACCATCATCTCCCTTATTGCTGTACGATTCAAAGCCTTTAAAGAGAATTCTTTTTTCTTCTCATGGACATAGAAATGATGTTTGTATTATAATCTAAACCAAGTTAAATCACTTGCATTTGTTTTGTGCTTTGTTGTTCGATTATTTTTGTTTTTTGGACTCGGTCTATATATTTTTGTTTTTTGGACTCGGTCTATATCTTATGACTATGTAACTTACTAAGGCCTTCTCCTGTGAATCCTCCGACTGAACTGATTTACTATTGTGCTCATGACAACAATCATAAAGAGGAGGAAGAAGTTGGTTTGTTGACTCTAGTCAACTCTAGTCAACATTGATCGACTTTTAGTCAATAGAGGTATTTCTATAATTTTTTTATTACTTTCCATTTTTGTTATATTTCAGCAAGTTTGTTTTGGGTTTTATGATCGTGTACAGAGATTCTTTCTTCTCTCCATGACGTAAAAACGATATCTATATTGTAATTTAAATCATATTAAATTATTAATATTTATTTTATATTTTATATTTCACCACTACTTATAATCCTTCCCAATACTGAAAAATAAGTAATGAAGGCTCAGACCCGATCTTTGGTTATAACAGCTACTTAAATAATCGCTACTGCCAAAAGAGAAATATTTAAATAAACTCCATGGAGCGTATCTACACAAATAAATGACACCGACCAGCACTGGTGCAGCCCCAATCAATGTGTATGAGTACGAATATGAGCGCACCATTGTCGCTCTCATCCCATTTCCACATTAGAATTCTCCCCTCGTGTCTGTCCATTCCTTCTCGCCTTCGTCCAGCGGCCCTGCGACTGCTGCGATCAACTCCTACCGGCCTCTCACTATCTCTACACAACTCCGAGCGAAGGTCTTCCCTGCGAACCCTCACAATCGCAGCTTCCGGTTCTACTCCCTCGCCGGCGCCGAAGATGGTGAAGGCCATCAGGGTCTATGAGCTTGGCGGCCCCGAGGCAAGATCAGAACGAACTCCGATTTTTATTTTCCTTATTCCTTCTTTTTCTTCTTCGTTCGTTGTTCTCTTCTTGAGTTCCGAGCCTTATGCCCCATCCCGCCTGTAAATTTAGGTTTTGAAGTGGGAGGACGTGGAGGTCGGCGAGCCCAAGGAGGGCGAGATTAGGGTCAGGAACAAGGCCATCGGCGTCAACTTTATCGATGTCTACCACCGCAAGGGAGTGTACGCTAAAGAAACGCCCTTCACTCCTGGTGCGATTTCGTCGAGTTTGTTATTCGCTTATCACTTGTTTGTCGTTATGTTCAATGGAGTTTCTTTATATATCATTCTCTGCGATGCCTTCAAACATTATAGAAACACTTGTAATATGTAGATCAAGCACATTTTAGTGTCACGTCCGAGCTGCTTCATATCTTACCTTTCCAACATTTGCTCAATCAACTAGTCCGTATGGTGTTGCATCGGTGGATCATGTTGATAACTGCTCTCCATGTGTTTAATCTGCTGGATAAGGATGAGACAGTAGGTTGTTGAAGACTTTGTCTTGGAGTGCTAATGTTCTGGTTTTCATATTTTGTTTTAGATTTTCAAGTTCTAGAGAACATTGAACATAATTGTTACTTCAGATTTCGGTTGTCTGACATGTTAGAAATCCAAATACAACCCAAGTTCTACATCCTAGCCTGTTGCACGTCCAATTTCGGGAAAATTGGAGATTTCATAAATATCCTGTGAAAAACTACGTCGAGAATATACTCGATAAAAGGTATCTTCAGCGCTTAAGTTAGCAAAAGTTTGAAGGATCTGGGAGTAGAAAATATATAATATTCTCAAATGGGTCATAGGATGCACCTAAAGTCCTTCTTATAGTGAGATTGGGTAATCGTTAAATCGAAGTGGAGATTTAATTTGCAAGATAGGTATTTACAGTGATTTAAAAAGGTGCTCGGGTGAGGTGAGGCAAGGCTCCAACGCCTCACACGGTAGTTGGGTGACGCGCTTTAGTGAAGCGCTGCATTGAACTTAACTAAGCAAAACATTTAACCCAACTGCGCCCCCACCAACCCCCCCCCCCCCCCCCCCCCAACACCCTACTTCGCCACCTTGACTCACCTATGCTCCCGTCATTGCTTTCGTGCGCAATCGTTGCCTCCTCCATTGATGCACAGGTCCGATGCTTCCTTTGTCGTCGACAGACGAGTCCAAAGGCCTAGCTTTCATGCGCAATTCCCTTTGGCACCGCTACTTCTGTGTGTAGCTCCTTCCACGTTTGAGGGATAGGATCACAGCTTCCTTTGCCCACAATGTTACCCTATACAGCTTTCGTCGCCACCGTTGTTGCCACTCGAAGCTTTCTTTATCGTTGCTGTCATTGTTTGCAGCTTCCTTCGCCGCCGTTGCCGTCGTCTGAAAGCTCCATCATCGTTGTCATCATCTGAAAGTTCCTTTGTCATCGTCACTCTCTCCTTCCCCACGTTCCACCGTCAATGACTCTTTTCTCCCCTCTAATTACTATTTATAGTGGATTAAATACTATTAACAGTAGATTGTTAATCCTTAATCGATATTAAAATCAAGGTTTGAAATTTCGTTCCATACCGGTGTATCGAGCTTTGCTCGATACGATACGATATGTTGTATTGAGCGGTATGCCTAAAAAAAATATATAATTAATATATAAAAATATAACAAATATATTTTTTATAAAAAATAAAAATCAATGTATAAAAAATATAAAAATTATATAAAAATATTTTAAAAAAAGGCGTATGCAGCCTCGGCGATGTTGCCTCTTCTTCTCCTCGTCGCCTCGTTTGCGGCATTCGGCGAGGAAGGCGGTGAAGACGTCGAAGGCCACAGACGTTTCCAACCTTCGGCGAAGAAGGCCGCAGAGTTGCATACGAGGCAATGAAGGAGACCGCCTCTTCCGTTGCTCTAATTGCTGCCTCCCCTGATCCCTGTGCCTCCAGATCCTCCTCTTTACGACTCTCCTCGTCGTTACCTCTTGGATCGGGATCGTCGAGGGAGGGCGGCATCGGATCGGGATCGAGAAAGGGCGTGGAAACAAGTTCGCGTCAGGGTTCTCCCATCTCCCTCTTCTCGAATGCTCTCTCCTTCTTCATTCTTCGACGCTTCTCTCTTAGCCTCGCCACAGCCAGGCCGTTATATCGAGTGGATCACCCGATAGCGGGCGGCCCACGTTCTGGTTCACTGGTGGTATAATTCGAAATCGTAAACCTTGATTAAAATTATTGATAAGTGTTAACTACTATTACCATATAGTGGTCCCTGATTAGCATTGTTAATCTTTATTTATTTAGAACTATTGATCTATATTTATTTTGAGTCCTTTGACAATTTTGTTATTAGAAGATGTATAATATGATTTGGTACTTTAGATATTTTCAATTTAATATTACATTTTTATTTATATAATCATATTTATCAATTATATTATATATTTTTATATATTAAAATATAATATTATATCATATTTATCAATTATATAATATTTATTAATTTAATATTATATAATCATATTTATCAATTATATTAATATTTCAGAACATCTCGCTTTTCTCAGGCGGGTGCTTAGGTAAGTGCCTAGTGCCTCGGGCATTTTGGGACCTTGGTGTTTTTTGACATCTAACAGTTTTTAAAATCCTAGGTATTTAGCCATGAAGACATGTATCGAACTGTCATATGCTATAGGTATAACACGATGGCTCATGCTCACGTTAAGGGTTCTCGGTTGACGTGTGAGGATGGATACGTATCCTTGTTGGTGCTGATTTGGTGTTGGATCCATATGGTGACGTGTCGTCATGTTGCACACTTGTCACTCTCCCTTATCAATAATCAACTTATAGTTAATATATGATAGGTCGCAGTATGTTACATCCTATTACAGCTTAACTTGTAAATCGAGAGGATCATTTCATGCATAAACCTTTCTTTAAGAAGACATCATATAGAGTTGTATACTTTTTTTCTAATACAACTTCTCATATTTACAACACATTTATTACAACAACGATAAGCTATACATCTCTACTTTCACCTTGATCAATCTTCCATTGTTGCTCAGTGCTCACACATTGGCTTGAAATCTACTTTTATAATCTAATGGTAGGTTTTGGCGAGCACAAGTGTGAATGATAAGACCCTAGAGTTTTATCGTAGAAGAAAGAAGAGAAAATGGATGATCACTTCGACGGGATCGGCCTTCTGGGGTTTGTCAAAGATTGAATAATATTTCATTGTCTATCGAAAAGAAATAGTTACATCACTATTTATAGAGTTTCACCCAAAGTCCACTAGGACTTGGACTCTTAATAATAAATAAATATTAAATAAACCTCTATTCGACTCTAATTGAACTAAATAGACTTAATAAACATTATTCAAAAGCTCAGAAAATAAAGAGATCATAACAATTCCTCCTTCAATTCAGCCCTGTTCTTAAGGCTAAGCAGCATCAAATTCTGGAAACTTCTCTTTTAGCGCTCTGTAGGACTCCCAAGTGGCATCTTCCTTTGGTAAGTTGGCCCATTGCACCAGCACTGCAGTCACAGGATGTCTGCGGTACATTACAACTCGTTGATTAAGTATGGCTTGTGGTTGAGCTTAAACTTCCCCAATAGTAGAGGTGTATGGCAAATGGCGTTGCACTATCTTATCTTCACCCAACTTCCTCGTAATGTAGGAAACATGAAATACTAGATGTATTTTAGAGCTAGCAAGCAAATCCAGGTGGTAGGTAACTGATCCAATGCATTCTAATACCTTATAAGGCCCAAAAAATCGAGGAGACAACTTCATGCAAGATCGGACCTTAATGGAAGTTTGCTTGTAGGGTTGAAGACGAAGGAAAACTCAATCACCCACGGTAAATTCTCGTTCACTTCGGTGTTTATCAGCTTGTTGTTTTATTCTTGCTTGTGCAGCTATAAGGTTATCCTTTAAAAGCTGAATAATCTTATTTTTATCCATCAATTCCATGTCCATTTGATCAACTTTAGAAGAACCAGGTACGTATTTTGTAATTGTAGGTGGGGTTCAACCATAAACTACTTCAAAGAGAGTCATTTTAATAGAAGAATGGTAAGAGATATTATACCACCACTCTGCTTAGGGAAGCCATTTAATCAATTCCTTCGACTTGTTACTTGTAAAGCATCTGAGGTAATTTTTTAGGCACTTGTTTACTACTTCAATTTGCCTATCTGTTTGTGGATGATAAGTAGTGCTCATATTCAGTTGAGTACCCTGTAAACGGAAAAGCTCTGTCCAAAAAGAGCTAGTAAAAACCTTGTCTCTGTCATTAACAATGGAACGAGGACTCCCATGCAATTTAGCTATGTTTTCCGTAAAAATAAGAGCAACACTTGCAGTAGTATAAGGATATCGTAAAGCACAAAAATGAGCATACTTTGTAAGACTATCCACAACTATAAGTATAGTACTTTTTCCTTGTGATGGTGGGAGTCTGTTAATGAAGTCCATAGATATGTCGGTCCAAACAACATCAGGAAAAGGGAGGGGTCGTAGCAAGCCTGGGGTGGCTACTGTCTCACTTTTGTGGCGTTGGCAAACATCACATTCAGCAACAAATTTCTTGATAAAATTTTTCATACCTTTCCAGTAAAAAAGTTGTCGGACTCGCTTATAAGTGCGGAGAAATCCAGAATGACCAGCAATTGGTGATGAATGGAACTATTTCAGAATTATCTCCTAGCAAGAAGAATGTGATGCTACAACTATTCAACCTTTATAGTGTAAGTCCATCGAATCCCAACTATAATTTGGGATAAAACTTGGATCTTCTTCTAGTTTTTTTATAATATTTTGGATCTCAGGATCATCTGACCATTCCCTTCTGATAACTTCCAAAGTCTCGCAAATAGGAATAGAAATAACTACCAGTTCAGCTTGTTCTGGAAGGCGTGAAAGCGCATTTGCAACTAGATTCTCACTCCCCTTTTTATAAATGATCTTATAATCGAATCCTAGTAGCTTTGTGACCCATTTCTGTTACTCTAAAGAAGAAATCCTTTGCTCCAGAAAATATTTGAGGCTTTTGTGATTAGTGCGTATTTGAAACCGTCGGCCAATTAAGTAGGGTCTTCATTTTGTGACTGCATATACAGTGGCTAGCATCTCCTTGTCATAAATAGATAAACTCAAATGGGAAGGAGAAAGAGCCTTACTAGCTTAAGCGATATTCCGACCTTCCTGCATTAATACAGCT